TCCTCACTCCCATATATATACTAGATGAAGGGAAAAAGGCTTTGAGATTGAGCCAGAAAACCAGATGTGGTTGGTTAACAGTCATGGGAAGCAGTTCTTCCCCTTGGCCATTGCACTCCAAGCCATCCAGGAACATCCGATGCACACATTATAGACAGGAGGCTCTATATCAATGGCTCATCAAATCCATGACTACTCCCAGTTTCTGAAGTCTCCTTAAACAGGTGGTTGGAACTTGCCCTTACTGCCTCCAGAATAACCCCAACACTCACCCCTCCAAGGTCAAAGAGTGACCCCCACTCAATATAGAGGCACATAGCCAGGTCAGACTGTCAAGCTGAACTTACAGTAATGCGTCTTGGGCACAAGGAGATTTTAGATATTTGCTGGGTTTGCCTGGCACTTTCTCCAGCTGGCTGGAGGCATTTCCCACTGGAACTGAGACTGCTTTGGAAGTCTCTAAGGCCCTGCACAAGGAAATCATCCCTTGGGTTTGGGCTCCCTACATCCATTCAAAGCGACAATGGGCCTGTCTTTGTTTCCCAAGTTAATAATAGAGTCTCTAGAGCCCTGGGAATTAAATGGCATTCACAGTCTGCTTGGAGAGCACAGTCTTCCGGAAAAGTTAGGAATAACAAGTCAAATGCTCAAAAGAAACTTAGCCAAACTATGTCAAGAGACTCATCAATTCTGGATCTCCCATTTACTAATGCATTTTTGAGAACACAAATAGCCCTTAAAGGAAAGTTCAGGCTAAGTCCATATGAGCTCATGTACAGGAGACCCATTCCTGAAGGACCTAGCTACAAAGCCAACCTTAGGAACATGGACTGACTGAAATACACCTTACAGATAGGGGAAATAGTCAAAGCTTTACATGCCTTCAGAGTCAGAAATGCCTTCTCCTTCTGACATGGTTTTACTATCTTTCTCCCCTAGGGATTGGGTTTATTTGAGAAGCTGGATGGCTGGAAATCCATAAGACCAGTTAAACCAAATGGACAGGACCTTATCTAGTAATCTTGATTACTCATTCTGCCTTAAAATTGCAGGGCATAATTTGTGGGTCCACGATACCAGAGTGAAGACAGCATCTATGCTTGAGGAAGGAGTTACTGAGCCACCCACTCAACACGCCAGTGAACCTGTCACAGACCTTAGGTTACTTTTCAAAAGGCCAAATTTACCAATAGATAAGTAATATGGTGGACAGGCTTAGTAGCTGGCCTTGTCATACAAATATAAAACACTCATTCTAAAGTGCCATTGCTCTAATCAGTCTTGCTGCCATTGACCCTATCAACAGCCCCTACCTAAGGGAGGAACTTACAATAGCACCCTGGGGCTTCCCTGGACTCTGATTAATGCTTCTTCCATTACTTCACAATTTAAGGGCCCCAGGATTGACTCCTGTGGAAATCTCACCCACTGGTGCCCTCTAGACCTACTTGATGAATACATACACAGGGCCAGATAGAAGATGTACTTATTGGGGAGGGAAGATGCTAGTTGTCTGGCATGTACTATATGATCCTCCTAAGGCCTGAGGATACTAGTCAAGAATCCCCTAGTGACCCCCGCTGTTCATGTGGGCCCCTCTCCCCACACAGCAAGGGAACCCTCTCTTGGGCTAGCCTCTTACAAAGGTGGTTCAATTCCTCAGAAGTGCACTGGGCATGCACTCCCCCTAGTAATTCTTCCTTTGTGGCCCAAGAATAAACCAATTGCCTCCTCAGAACAACCCCAATTCCTCCTTCCCTTATCCAGGATGGGTTCCAGCCTATTCTTGTTTAGATAATGCCTAATATTTCAGACAATGCACTCTGGACCAGCTAAGTTCTCCGAACCTAGGTATTACCATTCATACATAATGTCACTCAGCCCAGAGATAAAAGGGAAATAGGACTCCCTCTGGCAGGAAGAGGGGTTACTCTCAGACTAGTGTTTCCCTGGGGAGGTTTCCCATACCATGAAACCACTTTACAAAATCTCAAATGTGGGGATGACTTCCAAGGACTCCAGGCTTCTATGAATTCCCTAGCAAATGTTGTTCTTGACAATAGCCTAGCCATTGATTATCTCCTAGCTGAGCAAGGGGAGTTTGCAGTTATTAATAAACTCTGCTGTACATATGTCAATAACTCTGCTAAGATTGAAGTAAACATAAAAAAGATACATGAACAAATTCAATGGTTACATAGATAAAACACACAAGGTCCAGATCCAAGCTTTATCTGGAATATGATAAAACAGAGCCACCCTGTTTAACCTGGTTTCTTCCATTTCTTGGCCCACTAACTGCAATTATCCTCCTGACTGCCTTGTCAGCTTCATTAATAAACAGCCTGAAGCCATCAAACTTCAGATGATACTACTACAAGGGTACGAGCAATTGGGACTTCAGTCTGGCAACAATCAGACTTATTTCAGACTAGTCAGGGGAGAGTTCTGCAATTCTAATCTAAGGAAAACTACACCCATGTTCAGTAGGAAGGAGCTTTAGAAGAGAAACCTTTGCCCTTCAGCACCCCTCAAGAATGAGGAGCAGTAAGAAGGAAAGGGGTGATTTTATTGCCAGAGTTGGGCCAGGTCCTTGCTCAAAACTCACCAGCCCCCATCTTTAGCAATAAGTTAACATAAATCTTTAAGTCACTGGGTCCAGAGATAAGAAAGAAAGCTACAGGGAGAGACAAACAAAACAAACAAACAAACAAACAGGTGGAACCAGCTGGGACAAAGATGGTGACAAATCTGGCCTCCAACAGACCCTGAGTCTCATTATATACGGATTTTACTACATTAGAGTATTAAATATCAGATCTACTGGCAGCCATGTCCTGACATTAAGGACCAGAAAAGGGTAAAAAGAGGGTGGCACCCCAATCCCTTGAAAAGCCCTGCACCTTCCCGGGTAGACTAATGCATATACCTCCCTGTCATGAGCCTTGCTCCTCCTCCCTTTGTCTTTACTCTTTAAAATCAAATCCCTCTCACCACGTGGGGAAGAAGTTGATCTGTGAACTAAGTTCACGTTTCTTCATTCTTTGGCCACTGAGTAAAGCTTGTGCTGCATCAACGTCAGTTCTGGTTTAGTTAAGTGGCTGCTTTGAACCCCAATAGAAAAAGTAACTTTCCCTGAAGAGAGAGAGAACATCAGCCAGGCCAGGGCCAGAGGTGATACAACTTAATTCAGTAACTAGAGCTCTTGTCTTGGCTTGCAGATGGTGGCTGCCTTCTTGTTTGTGATATCCTTCCATGGTGGGGGAGGAGGTAAGAGACAGGGAACAAATTCCCTGGTATCTTCTTATAGGGACACACATCCCGTCATGGGGGCTCTGCCTCATAATCTAATTACCTCCAGTTGTGACTTTGTTTAATTAATGTTTCTTAAGTAGAAGCTTAGGGTGTTGGATAGTGAGCCAGAGTTTAACAAAAGACCACAAGGGAATTGAAATAGAGAAGTTTATGACTCACAGGTCCTGGAGGGGCCATGTGGGAAGGTCAAGGCAGGGTGCAGGCAGAGAGAGAGCACAGCAGGACCTGGGGCACATGCCTTTATTAGTGTTCACAGGCAGAATACTTTGGGGTTCCCAGGATAAGGCCAGATTGGTCAATTCAAAAAAAAAAGAGTGGGGTTTTGGTAAACTTCTTGGGAGTGCACAGTGGGAAGGTCCTGAGAGGTGGAGGAGAATGCTCAAAACAGTGGTGGTCTGTAGAATCATACCAGAAATTTACATTTACTTGTGACTCTTGTTATCTAGAGCATGAGCTCACAAGAGGGGCTGGTGTCAGTTCAAAGCCACACAAAATGGATGCTGAGGCAGCAAGATTATGAAGTAGTTCAGCTAAACTCCGAACACTTCCCAAAGGCCTCATCTCCAAACACCATCACATTTGGGTTAGGGCTTCAACAGGTGAACTTTTAGGGGAGCACAGTTCAGTTCATAGTAAGTGCTTACTATGAAATTGATACTGTTAAAAACAAAATTCATCTGAGTAAATTTTAAAGTTCTTATTGGTTTTATTCAAGGATTCATGAATTGGGAACAATCCAATCTAGCAGATAGAAAGGAGCGCCAAGGAGCTGTATGAAATGAAAAACTTTTATAGAAAGAATGGAGCAGGAACAAGGAAGTTACAGAGGCAAAAAGGCAGACTGGCTATAGCAAGGGAACATGCATTAGAGGGGATGTCAGGGTTCTATCAGGCAGATTGCTTTACTAATGCTGATCAGGTGATTCCTGATGGACTCGTTTAAGATTCCATTGCAGAATCAAAACTATAATTAAGTCAAGGTTTGGAGATGTGGCACTCAGTGTTATGCAACTCTATTTGGGACCTATTGTCTTATTTCTAACAATAAAGACCAAATACTATGTTTTTCATTGACTTTTTTGGAGACAAAAAAGAGATTTATTTATTTTTCTCATTCTGAAACATTCAGGGATGCCTGATGGACAAAAAGGAAAAAAAGTTCAAGTACACCTAACCAAACTGTTTACTGTAGAGAATGTTCCTAATCCTGGTCTAATCACCATAGCAAAAGTCAGTGGTGTTCTTAAATCTTGGGAAAAATGAGAGAAAAAAGAGAAATCTACTGACTATTGGTTACCTAATTTCTCTTCTGTATGGATAATGTTCCTGAAGATTAGAATTTCCTATTTTGGATATTAGATATTAAAGTAGCAAATACCAGAGGAATAACGATTGAGAAAAAAATCCAGGCACTCTCTTATTTTACACAAAGTTGGGTAAGTCATTTTATATCTCTGCATCACAAAGTTATCATATGCATTTAAGGATACTAATGGACACTCTTTTGCCCGTATCTCAGGGACAATAAGCATTCTATGCAAAGTTTTTGTATGCCTCCAAAAAACCCAAGTCAGGTTCCACAAATAAATCATTTTATTCAGCTTTGAATCCTCTGTACTCTACATTGGTTTATTCTATGCAGCATTGACATGTTTGTGTGGTGTAAGCAAGAAACTCTTACTCACCAAGGACATCCAAGTGTGACAACTGTTCTGAATGGTTATAAAGCGTTAGGAGCTCCAGCTGTTAAACTTTGCACCTGGAACAACATGGTCAAAACAGAAAGACTTTTATGACACCAAATCTGTGCTCTTACACTACCTTATATTGACTCATTAATTAAAAGGAGATATTTAGTATTTGACTAGTAGGTCATTAACACATATTAACTGAAGAAATTTATTTTCAAGCAGAAAAATAGCCAATACTTTCTGAATATTCATTATCATGATTCATTTTATGTGTCAACTTGACTGTGCTAAGGGATATTCAGATAGTTGGTAAAACATTATTTTTGTTTATGTTTGTGAAGGTGTCTCCAGAAGAGATTAGCCTTTCAGTCAGGCCTCATCCAATCCATCCAAGGCCTGAATATAACAAAAAGACAGAGAGAGGGTAAGTTCTTTCTCTGCTTAAGCTCAGTCATCCATATACTTCTGCTCTTGGACATCAGTGTTCCTAGTTTGGGGGCTTTTGAATCCAGACCAGGACTTACACACCATCTTTCCCCGCGATTCTCGGACTGAATTACATCACCAGTTGTCCTGGTTCTCTAGCTTGCAGATGGCAGATAGCTGGCTTCTCAGCCTCCATAACCATGTAAGTCAATTTTACAATAAATCTCTTCTCATACATACCTCTATATATCTTACTGATTCTTTTTCTCTGGAGGACCCTGACTCATATATTCATGGAGTAATTGAGTTATGTGAAAAAATTTTCCCAATTATTTTTCAAAGCCCTCTGATTACATTTTGATCCTTAAAAAAAAAAAAAAAAAAAAGACTCCAAAATCTCGACTTCAGCTCTTGCTGACCTTTTCATCTTGCCTTTCTCCTATCTTTCAGGGTATGAATTCCTATGGAGTATTGAGTGGTTCTGAGTGATGGGCAAGAAATGAAAAGAAGACTTAATTGTTTTTTTCTTTCTTTGAGTTGGGGAATGCCTCTCACTCAGAAGCATCGCACATAAAACCACATACATACATACATGTTATTTTTTTTAGAGAACATACTCCATTATTTTACATATTTTGAGTTATAACTAGGTTTCACAGAATTGACTGGATTAAATCATTGCTTATCTACCATCCAATTATATTTACTAGAATTCCAGAGTTTTGAAAAGGTGTAAGAGAGCATTGCTGCTGTTAAAATTGTAAGGACGGTTGATGAATGTGAGACAGCAGATTTGGGTACAAAGGATACATCGATCCACCTTTTCTCTTTTCATCAGATACCCAAAACTAACTACTTTCTCTTCATTTAGTTTTATTCTAAACAAAGGCAGGATTTTCCATTTTAAGCCCATGGTATTTCAGGGGGACTTTTGGATATTAGTGCAAGGGTCAAGAAGATAATTGGGAGGAAATAACCATCTTTTATAAATTGATCAGTAGCTCAACATTTTCTCCCTGTGTTTAACAAAATAAAGAGATTCAAGAATTTCTTATTTTCAATCATTCCCTAAAGAATATGAAGTACATAAAGGAAGGCACTTTGCCTCTCTTGGTCCTTGCTGCATCCTCAGAACCTAGGTGAGAACTCAGATTATATTAAGCACAGGCATATCTTGACTATATTGAGGTTTCGGTTCCAGACCACTGCAATAAAATGAATATTGCAATAAAGCAAGTCACACATTTTTGGTTTCCCAGTGCATATAAGAGTTATGTTTACACTATACCCGTGGGGTCCACAGACATCTGGCAGATTCCTATTCCAAGGCCCCTCTGCTCCAAGGCCCTCAGGCGTCCAGTTGCTGCCCTTTAAAGATAACAGGAAACATTTGTTTCCTAGTACGTACCTGCCTTAGCTGAACTAACTACCCTAGATAATACGAATGCCCAGAAGCCTGACCACCAGAACCAGTCACAGCCCCCTACCAGAGTCATGTAGCCTTTCCCTTTCATGAGACCCGCTCCCTCCTCTATTACGTCAACATCATCCAGACTTGGGCACTGGCCGATCATACATCATGTGCCCCATGGTACCTGATGTAACCCTCCCTTATAAAAGACCTCAGTAACCAACCCTCGGGGCACATACAGGCACCTCTTGTCTGTGTGGCCTGCTGTTGTCTGTGACAGAGTATCTAATAAAGTCCTTTTCTATTTTCATCCTTTGTCTTTGGTAAATTCTTTTACCCCCCAAGTATTGGCCCACTGAATCCCATGACAATACTGTAGTCAATTAGTATGCAACAGCATTGTGTCTTTAAAAACCATGTACATACTTTAATTAAAAAATAGTGCTGTTGGAAGAATGGAGCCAATAGACTTGCTTCATGCAGAGTTGTCACATTCAATTTGTAAAAAAACACAACAGCTGTAAACCACAATAAAGCAAAGCACGATAAAATGAGGTATGCCTGTACTTAATACATGTTAATAACCTGATCGATTGACAGTGTGACAGAATCTATGCATGACAGACAAAAGGTTTTAAGCAGGCTGTGAGTAGGCAGTTTCTAGCTGTCTAGATGAATCATGGTGGCGTAGTCTGAGCATAACCCTGTAGAAGATGTACATGCAATTTGTCATTGCTTTTCTCTGCAATTGATAAAACTGGCATTAAGATAATTAGAACAGAATCTATTTTTAATGTATAATCAAATAATGAAACTGGACAATGATCATCAATGGATGCTGATATCACAAAAAAATTAGACAACTAGATAATATTTACCTCTTGATTGATGCACATAACACCAGTTTGACATAGTGTACCAAAAAGGAAAGAAAAAGAAAAAGAAAAAAAGGACCTGAAACAAATAGACCTAGTCTATAAATCTAACTACCTAACAGTTTGGAGAAAATGCAAGGATGGGAGAACATATAAAATAATAACCCAAGGGAATATAATCAGCAAAATTCAGAATGTGAGAACACTATAGGAAAGATGATCCAATATCTTTAATAAATTTAATAAAAAAAGAGGAAAAGAACATGTATATTAAACTGAAACTTAGCTAAATGCTGGTGCATGAACTTTATTGGGACACAAATGAGAAAATCTGAACTCTGGCAGAATATCTAATTGTATTAATCACTTATATTTTACTTCTAGTTTTAAAATATTATTGGTTATGCTATTTAAAATAGTCATTTCCTTTAGAAATAAGCAATACATAATCATAGGTAAACTGTAATTTGTAGAATTTATTTCAAAACAATCCAGCTCAGAAGCATTTTTTCCCCCACAACATCCTAAGGTCTTTGAGAAATGCCCAGCAAATGGTAGGTGCGTAATAAATGTTTATTGAATAATTACATAAATTGAAAAATAAATGAAGCTTCTCATCATTAGTAAGTATAAAACTCTTATAATTTTAGCAGCAAGATCAGTCTTTCTTAGGAGGTGAAGTGGTGATCTAATAACTGATATAAGGAGAATTAAGTTCACAAATTAAATACTGCTACAGAACAAACAACAAAAAAACTTACTAGTTTAAAACAATAACTAACATGGCTCAGGAGTCCACAGCTCACCAGAGTTTGCTTATATAACCAGAGTTAATTAACTTAGCTAAAAGTGATACAAATATTTTTTTATCTAATAGACCATTCATGTTTCAATTTTGTCACTTGGCTCAATGTACTTCACTGTATTTGTTTTCTTCCAGTACATGATGTTGGAAGAGGTCACTGAGAGGATATGACCATCAGCTGACCAATGAGCTGGACCTGGGCAATCGAGGCCTCCCCCCCTCCCCCGTCATTGAGTGTAAGTTCTGCCCACAGTGGGAGCCGTCTCAAGGACAACCTTGAGAGAGCAATGTGTTGTTGAGACCATCTGGATGGTATATGTGACTGAAACCAGTAAAGGCCTCTTTATAAACTTTTCAGATTCTGGCAGACAGGCTTGGAGCTCTACTCATCTAATGGCCACCCAAGACAAGCCTCGTATGTAAGTTCTCTTGTTTATAAAACCTGCCACCTACCAGTCTTGAGTGGTCTGTCTCCTTCTTCAGTCTTTTGTTGTTTGTGTTCAGGGGTCAGTTCAGGACATGTGGTCCTGCATCTAATTGTCACGTCTCCGTTTATTTTAATCTTTAAAGGTTCACAGACTTTTTGCTCCTATAGTATTGATATACTTAAAGATTACATTCTATTTTGGGTCTTTCTGATGCTTTCTCAGTACTGGAATCAGATGCATTTCTAATCTGAATATCTTTAAGAATTATCTGTCTTTGTTAGACTATCACACCTGGAGGTATTCGGTGACCATCTATGGTTCATTGATGATTTTATTATTGATTGCCTGTTTGATTTCTCAGCTTTGTAGTAACTATTTTTTCCCTCTTGCAACTTACTGATCTGTAGGGTGACATTTTAAGATCATGTAAAACATGTCATTGTTTATTGTTTTATCTTCTTAGTCTATTGCTTTTTATTATTATGTAATATTATTTCTCATTATTTCCAATATTTTGCCTTGAGAGCTATTTTTATTCTAAAATTTGTTTGCTACATCAGATTTTATTTATTGTTGAGTTTTTTTTGATGAATTGATCAATTTGTTATTGCATCCACCTCACATATTTTCTTTATTTTGAAACTTTCTCTTCATGTTTTATACTTCTCTCTTGAAAATAAACTATAAGACAAATTTTACCTTTGTACAGAATATCTATTTAACAAATGATTGAATAATTACACTGGTCAGGATTTCTGGTATCTTTACAATTCTTGCCCTATTCTTAAATTTTGCTTTCTGTTTACTCACTTGCTTTGTTTATCTTTTCCTTCTTGCCTGATTTTCCTTTAATTTTGTTTTCCATATATCCTTCCCTTCTACTTTCCACACATCTCATTATAAACTGTAAAATATGCTACTGTGTGGTTATTCTTTAAAAATCCTACATATATAGCAATAAACATTTATTTTGATGTGAAAAATAATTCACTGCTTTTGTCATCATCAGAAACACAATCTAGATGTTATCAAGCTTTAACTATCAGGGAAAAACTTCTTTCATGCCCTCTTCTATATTGTCATTTTTTACTACA